CGTGCACGATAACGCAGAACATAATTTTCATTGATTTACTGTCACTAACGGACTAAAGTGATGTGTTGGTAATAATGCTTAGATCGCAGATTGATGTTGAAGCTAAGTTTTTCGATTTATCATCGATACACAGGCGGAGTATCTGATAATTTATGAGTGCTTAAGTGTTTGAAGTCATCTCTGCTTATAAAAGTTGACCCTCAAGTTTACAGGCGTAGAGAGATGATGCAGCTTTAGAAGTTAATTCTTCTGATGATGCCTACAGCTTTTTAAAAAATGTTTCGACTGCTTGTGTTTAAAATACAGTAATACTGGCAAGAGGATTGCCTATCATTATGTTTAGCTTTGTTTATTGCAGTTTTAAATTTTCATTTTCTAACTTTCATTCAGCGATATTCTAGAAAACTAAATTAGCTGAATTTTAAGTCTGACATTTAAAATTATATTTACAAAGTGTTTTGGAGAATCTTAAAATTCTTATTAATGTTTTCACCCTATTTATTGCCACAGATAAGGCATTATCTTTGTGACTTAAATTGAAACAATCCAAATCCGTTCAGGGTAGCAAACATTGATTAACCTCTGTGTGTAAAATGTATTTAGTAAACAACGCGTTTGAATAGCATAAGAGGAGTTTATATAAATTGTGGCATTTGTTCATCCTGGTTAAAGGCGGTTTTTTGGCCCACAAGTTTTGTAGCATGTAATAGTCGTGCAAGTATGTTACGGACTTTAAACTATGGAGGATCTTGTTTCATATAAATGAGATAAATATTTAATGAATAAATATTTACGACTTCCATAGTTTAATTTGTATGTGAAATTTAATAATTTTATGCTTTTGATGTTAAAATCATTTAGCGATGTTTCGACGACGCGCATTTTTGCACTGGTTTACTGGTGAAGGAATGGATGAACTGGAATTCACTGAAGCGGAAAGCAATATGAGAGACTTGATAGCCGAATACCAGCAATATCAAGTAACCTATTTATTGAACCGTTGAAATTTTATCGAGGTTCACTGTCTTGTTTTTTCTCATAGGAAGCTTCGGTCGATGAAGAGGATTACGACGAAGCTGGCGAAGATTCAATGCAGAATGTCGAACAAGTCGAAGCATAAAACAAGCAGCTTCTGTTTTATCCACTGATCTTTAAAACTGTGTAAAAAATTACTTATTCGTCTTCTATTTTGTATGTAATTTTTTCTGTTACGCTTAAATCGGAATGCAGAACTTGTATTCTGCTCCTGACAGGTGAACAGTGTTAGGTATTTTGCACTGATTATCCAGTAAATAAACCTTGAATTCAGCGTTTTATTAAATTTCTATATTCGATAAAATAAGCTAGCTAACAGTTGAAAGATGCTGGAAAATTTTGAAAAAATTCATTTAAATTCTAGCAGCTGATCAGTTGTTTGGCTGAGTGAATGTAGCCCAATAACTATTTGTGCAGTCATTATTTTGCATTATTTCAATCACTAGCAATAGACTTGTCTGAGTTACCTGTACTTCTATTATTATGTATTAAAATGGAAAACATTGTTAGAGATGAAAAACCATGTATAAATTTTTGATTGAAATATTTTAAAGATAAATTCCTGTCTTAGTGATACGCTGTATAACTGTGCAGCCGTTATTAACCATACAGTAAACCTCACTCATTTCTTTTGTAAAGGTCAGTTGTTCATATATAATACAAGCAGCATATAGTGAATATATGTTATATACAGTGTACTGGAATGCTACTATATATCTTGTTTGGACAGAGTAATGATATTGTCTGTCCCTTTAGCTTGTAAATTTGGCTGTCCAACATGTATGGAATGTCTGCAGTTTTTCAGTTCCCAGAGGATAAGC